GAAGCAGCGATTACAGTTTACGAAACACTCACGTTTGAAGATACAGAAAAAGATAAAATCGAGCCGTTAGTAGCGAAATTTGAAGCGTATTGTCTTCCGAAGAAAAATGTCACGCACGAAAGGCATTTGTTTAACTTGAGGCAACAAAACCCTGACGAATCAGTAGAGCGGTTTGTGACGGAACTCAAACGATTAGCAAAGAATTGTGAGTATGGAAAACTTACAAACTCGATCGTTAAAGACAGGATTGTCGAAGGAATCAGCAATGACAGAACTCGAGCACGGCTTCTTCGAGAAAAGATTTATCGCTAGAAAGGTGTATGGAAGTGTGCAAAACAGCAGAAGTTGCCGACAAGCATATGAAAACCTTAACAGATAAGTCACGTAAATCGGAAGAAATTGATGCAGTTTATAGTCGAGGAAGGAATTATCGAAGAGAAACGCATTCAGGATTAACGGGGAACGGCGGTAAAGAACAGAAATTTAACAACAGATTAAATTGCAGCAGATGTGGTCAGGGAAACCATAGTTATGATAAATGCCCAGCTGTGGGAAAAGAATGCAGAAATTGTCACAAGAAAAATCATTTTATGAGTCAATGTAGAACCCGAGACAAAGAATTGCCAAAATATCCGAGAAAACATCGAGTCGATACGGTAGAAAACAACGGTAAACAAGAGAGGGACGGTGAACCAAGTAGTGAGTCTAGTGACGAACATGAATTATATGTTTATTCGACGGAAACGACCGCTGACAAATCAGATCCATGGATTCTTCCCAGGGGCGGATCTAGGATTTTTCGTACGTTAGTCAAAAATTTCGTTGCTGGACATCGAAGGGGGGGGGGGGTCGCAAACGAATTAATTTGTATCCAGTTTTACGAAAAAATGTTACGTAAAAAATGACTGTTTCGCCCAATTCAGTGCTCGTCAGCACGCCTATGAAACACATAACTCCATATTTTGTCCTTAATTTACATGAATGATCAAAAGATTTTCAGATATAGCGATGTAGTTTTATAAAACATTTGATTGATTGTTAATTCGCAGGAAGAGAATTTCCACGTTTAATTCACTGCTTCTCGAGTTTTATTCATAGCAGAAACATGTGCCACAGCGATGTTTTCCTAATTTTAGAAGTGAGGGGACGCTCTTGAAAATCAAATAGGCGTGGTCACTCGATTGGGCGTGGCCTCATGCACGGTCATAGCGAACAGGTACATACTCGTAATAGCTTAATCTTTGAAGTGGATTTAATAGAACATGATACCTAAAAAACACCTAGATGCCAAAAAGTAAATAAAACTACGTTGTTTTTCGAATTTCGACGATGCAATTAGCGCCATGCGAGCACTGAGTATGCGGCAACTCGGCAAGCAGGCAACTTTGCAAGTTAAATATGACATTTTCGCGAGTAACTAAATAAGCTTAGATAATAAATATCCTTGAATTTTTCCCATTTAATCATGTTAATGTTCTTATTGAATCATTTTATGTTCCAATTGATCATTTTAATGTTTAATTAATTTCGCGATTGCGCGAAAGACTAGAGTAATTATATCCTGCTGGGCTGCTGCCTTATATCAAGCTAGTCTGCTAGAATTTTCTGCAAGTATATCAAGTTCCAGGGAGATTAAAATAGTGACAAAATTACATTCTGAAGTATTTCTACGTAGGACTGCGGAGCAATTATTGTCAAAAATATCACGTATGTGGTAAAACATCTGCACTGACTGTACAAGTGATAGCCAAAATTATTTGGACGGTGTCGAACAGCGTTCACTGAATTTCGCTCATATTTAATCCCTGCCAGGGGGAACGCCGTTCCCCCATGTTTGATTTTGGCAGGGGGACGCCGTTCCCCTGGTAAAAAAGGTGGGGGGACGGCGTACCCCTGGAAAACATCACTGATGTGCCATGAATAAGTTATCACAATGGCAACATGATCCATTTTACTTATTGTATACATGTTGTAGAGATCGTATTACACAAAGCCATGCACATTGTCATGTGCTTGTAGTTTTAATATACTAGAAAAACTAGGCATAAATAATACAGTATTATAAGTATCTGATCAATATATAAAGCCCACATTTCACAAGAGGCATAAACAAAGTATAACCAAACTGAAACTGCTTGTATTAATGTAGTATCATGTAAATTGACCGAAATATTATGTAAATTTCGTCTCTTATTACGTACAGACGCGCAACCACTACAGCCTACAACAGCTATGATGCTATATCAAGTTAAAATAGAA